TACAATACTAAAGCACAAGGAGTCTGTAAAGGCTATAGTGCCAGCAAAGGGCATTAAAATAATGTCTAAACACTAGACCTCTTTCAGTGAAAAGATGGAGACTCTGCTGTTGATGTGGTTGAGGGAGAAGGAGCTCGCCGGAGATACCGTGACTGAGGGTATCTTCTATGAGAAGGTACGAGGCATTTATGCTGATTTGCTGCAGAAGACCCCAGGCACTTCAACGGGCGAGGCATCGCAAATGTCGTTTAAAGCCAGTTGGGGCTGGTTCAAAAAGTTTAAAAGGAGGACCAACATTCACTCTGTCGTCAGGCATGGTGAGGGAGCGAGTTCTGATGTGAAGGCAGCTGAGAGTTTTCTCAAAACTTTTGCAGAAGTATTAGCAGCTGAAGAATACATCCCTCAGCAAGTCTTCAACTGTGATGAGACAGGGCTCTTCTGGAAGAAGATGCCAAGGAGGACTTACCTAACTGCAGAGGAGAAGAAGATGCCAGACCACAAACCCATGAAGGGCAGGTTAACCCTTGCACTGTGCACAAATGCAAGTGGCGACTGCAAGATCAAGTCGCTGCTGGTATATCATTCAGAAAAATCCCCGAGCCTTTAGGTCGCATAAGATTCTAAAAGAAGAGCTGGACGTTATGTAGAGGGCAAACCCGAAGGCATGGGTCACCAGGCAGTTCTTTGTGGAGTGGGTAAACCTGGTCTCTGGTCCTACTGTTAAGAAATATCTCCAGGAAAATAACCTAAATCTGCAAGCCCTTCTCGTCCTGGACAATGCACCTGCTCACCCACCGAACATTGCAGACGACATAATCGAAGAGTTCAAGTTTATAAAGGTTCTCTACCTTCCACCCAACACCACCCCTATCCTGCAGCCCATGGACCAGCAGGTGATTTCCAATTTCAAGAAACTTCACCAAGCACCTGTTCCGCCACTGCTTTGATGTGACAAAGAACATGAACTTGGCCCTTCGAGAGTTCTGGGAGGACCACTATAACATCGTGATATGCCTCAAAATTATAAATATGGCCTGACAGGGTATTACAAGGAGGACCTTGACCTCTGCGTGGAAGAAGCTGTGGCCTGAGGTTGTGTCCAAAAGAGACTTTGAAGGATTCGAACTCAAAGACCCAGTGGTGGAGGAGATTGTGTCCCTTGGAAAGGTCATGGACCTGGAGGTGGATGAAGAAGATGTGAAGGATCTCATCAAGGAACACTCCGAGGAGCTGACGATGGAGGAGTTAGATGAACTACATAAGCAGCAGCATCAGGAGGTTTTGAAGGACATTTGTACCGCAGAAGAGGAAGATATGGAAGAGTATACCTCTACATGTGAGATAAAGGAAATGTTGGGAATCTGGGAGAGATTATCAAGCTTTATTGAAAGGAAACACCCAGAGAAAGTTTCAAGTGCTCGTGCACTGGACCTATTTAACCCTTTCAGGGTCGATCATAATGACAAGAAAAGTATGAAATTTGATGGAAAACTTATGGAATTATGCTCTCGCGAAGTTAGTGGTCTCGACAATGTTTACGCATCGGCAATTTTGTCCACTTTGAGCCCTATTTTTGGCCAATTCCAGTGTACTTGTCGACAAAAACATAACTATTTCACTAGAACTCCATTTTTTCTATCAAATGAGTACAAGAATCCACCTATTTACCGATTTCAACTATCCAATACAGTGGTGAGAATTTAGCAATTTTGCCAGTTTCATATAAATTTCAAAAGATGCCAATTTCCAAACAGGGTCCAGAATAAACAAGAAAGACATTCTTGGCACTAAAATAACATTTCCTCTGTTCATTAGTCACATCCCCATGCCCCTCGTACATTCTTTTGCTTTCCACTTTGAATTTTTATTCTCACAAAAAATAGAAGATTTACTGTTATGCAGATTACTGCATTGGTGTAGAAATGGTATAAATAATATCAGCGCACTTGTGAAAGAATATTAGACTCACCAGTTGACGTGTATTGGACACATAGCATGATTTGTTTACTTTTGAACTTTGGTAAAAATCGAACATTTCTGCTACTTTGAGCTCAATTTCAAGGTACTTTTCATTGTAAAACCAGTCAAAATCATCTCAATTTCTGTAATATGTCTTCCATTCTATAAAATGAAACAAGGAAAACTAGAATACACCAATAAATACCATACGAAAATACAGTGCAAAGTCGCTGTTTTAATCCAAAAACACGGTCAAAGTTTTTTTTTTTCTCATTACGCACTGTGTGCTGCAGGATTTTTTTATACCGCACACACTGACCACATAGACCCATTCTTTCATATGTAGGCCTACCAGCTTTCTTTCACTAGATTTGAGGGCGCTAGATTTTAGGCATAGTAGTACGTCAAAAACCCTGGTGCGTAAGCCGTACTAGTACGGCTGAAACCCTGAAAGGGTTAATGACACTTGCATGAGTTATTTCCAAAACATTCTGAAAGGGAGGAAGAAATAAACTTCCTTGAACAGTTTTTTCTTGAAACGCTCTGCAGGTGAAAGTGTGACAAGTGTGGAGAAAAAGCCAAAAATCAGTGAATAGTGAAGTACGTATCATTAAAATAAAAATTGTAGCAGTTAAGTGACAGAGTGCATCATTAACAGTGTAGCAATTAAGTGTACATAAGATTAAGTGTGTATCACCCAGAGAAAGTTTCAAATGGTCGTGCACTGGACCTATTTAATGACACTTGCATAAGTTATTTCCAAAACTTTCTGAAAGGGAGGAAGAAACAAACCTCCTTGGACAGTTTTTTCTTGAAATGCTTTGCAGATGAAAGTGTGACAAGCGTGGAGAAAAGGCCAAAAATCGGTGAATAGTGAAGTACGTATCATTAAAATAAAAGTTGTAGCAGTTAAGTGACAAAGTGTATCATTAATCCCTAAACGGTCCAAACGTATATATACGTTCTTACACGTAGCGCCCCACTTAGTACCTTGTGGGAGCGCCAGTTAAATTGAGCTCCAGCTAGAGCAAACAGTGTGGCAAACACCAAGGATTCACTGATGTAATGTCATATTAACGCTCCTAGAACCTAACCTGCCATATAAGTGGGGCCCTACTGTGGTTGCAGGGATTGAATCATAGCTCCTGGCCCCTGGTGTGTGTGCGTGTGCATGCATGTGTGTGTGCATGTGTGTGTGTGTGTGTGTGTGTGTGCATGCGTGTGTATGTACTCACCTAGTTGAGGTTGCGGGGGTCGAGTCCGAGCTCCTGGCCCCGCCTCTTCACTGATCACTACTAGGTCACTCTCCCTGAGCCGTGAGCTTTATCATACCTCTGCTTAAAGCTATGTATGGATCCTGCCTCCACTACATCGCTTCCCAAACTATTCCACTTACTGACTACTCTGTGGCTGAAGAAATACTTCCTAACATCCCTGTGATTCATCTGTGTCTTCAACTTCCAACTGTGTCCCCTTGTTACTGTGTCCAATCTCTGGAACATCCTGTCTTTGTCCACCTTGTCAATTCCTCTCAGTATTTTGTATGTCGTTATCATGTCCCCCCTATCTCTCCTGTCCTCCAGTGTCGTCAGGTTGATTTCCCTTAACCTCTCCTCGTAGGACATACCTCTTAGCTCTGGGACTAGTCTTGTTGCAAACCTTTGCACTTTCTCTAGTTTCTTTACGTGCTTGGCTAGGTGTGGGTTCCAAACTGGTGCCGCATACTCCAATATGGGCCTAACGTACACGGTGTACAGGGTCCTGAATGATTCCTTATTAAGATGTCAGAATCCTGTTCTGAGGTTTGCTAGGCACCCATATGCTGCAGCAGTTATTTGGTTGATGTGCGCTTCAGGAGATGTGCCTGGTGTTATACTCACCCCAAGATCTTTTTCCTTGAGTGAGGTTTGTAGTCTCTGGCCCCCTAGACTGTACTCTGTCTGCGGTCTTCTTTGCCCTTCCCCAATCTTCATGACTTTGCACTTGGTGGGATTGAACTCCAGGAGCCAATTGCTGGACCAGGTCTGCAGCCTGTCCAGATCCCTTTGTAGTTCTGCCTGGTCTTCGATCGAGTGAATTCTTCTCATCAAAATTCACGTCATCTGCAAACAGGGACACCTCAGAGTCTATTCCTTCCGTCATGTCTTTCACAAATACCAGAAACAGCACTGGTCCTAGGACTGACCCCTGTGGGACCCCGCTGGTCACAGGTGCCCACTCTGACACCTCGCCACGTACCATGACTCGCTGCTGTCTTCCTGACAAGTATTCCCTGATCCATTGTAGTGCCTTCCCTGTTATCCCTGCTTGGTCCTCCAGTTTTTGCACCAATCTCTTGTGTGGAACTGTGTCAAACGCCTTCTTGCAGTCCAAGAAAATGCAATCCACCCACCCCTCTCTCTCTTGTCTTACTGCTGTCACCATGTCATAGAACTCCAGTAGGTTTGTGACACAGGATTTCCCGTCCCTGAAACCATGTTGGCTGCTGTTGATGAGATCGTTCCTTTCTAGGTGTTCCACCACTCTTCTCCTGATAATCTTCCCCATGATTTTGCATACTATACATGTCTATACATACTATACATGTGTGTGTGTGTGTGTGTGTGTGTGTGTGCATGCATGCATGTGTGTATGTGTGTGTGTGTGTGTGTGTGTGAACCCCTGGAACCCTCTCCAGGTATACTCCAGGGTCGTTCATCCCACTCCATCGCCTGGTTTACCTTAGTCTACCGCTGCTAAGTGCCAACAAATTTTTACGATTATTTTTGTTATTTATTCATTATTTCATACAAAATAGTTTACACAATTTATTAATGAGTCACATACAGGAGCTTAGATTACACATTTGACTAGCTGGGTAAAAAAACAAGTGAAGTAAGAGTGTATGACTAATGTTATAGAGGTTATACAGACTCTTAGTGAGTCATGAAATTTTCCATGGGAAAGTAATTTTCATGTGTTAAAACTTTATTAACCAATTCATGGTTGGTTATAACTGTTGACAAATTTCCAGTCAAAATATTATAATTATGCATTTACAGATTCTGCAAGTACAACTCAGTCCAGACTGGTAAGACGACGTTTCGTTAAGAACCAGGATCGTGAAAAGCAATCCATATACTTTGCCAAGTTAGAAGAGAGGAGGATCAAACTAAGAGATACACTGGAACAAGAAAGGAGATCACGAAGAGAGGCACAGGTATGATTTCTGCTTAGGTAGAATGACTTATTTATTATGTAATCTACTCATGACTGACCAGTGTGATGTCAAGTTTTGTACATAAAGTATTTAATACAAGTGTAACTTAACCCTTAACTTGTCAATGATGCCAAATTAAATGCTTCTCTGTTGCAATTTTTGTAAAAAAAAAAAATATCTTCAAAGATGTTGGAGAATGTTTTTCAAAGGGTAATAACACCAAAAATTCAAAATTTTATGATAAATTTATGGAATTATGCTGACGTAAGGTTGACGATCATGGAACACTTTATGTAAGAGCAATTTAGCCTGCTTTGAGACCTATTATTGACATATTCATCTACTCAAACCAAACCAATTACCAGTCATTTTGCTGTGCTTTCCATTGACTATAAGAAAAGACCCATTTAATTATCAGATCTTCCAAAACAGAAATTGGAGGTATTCCAGCCACTACATCAACCTTTCCTTTCTTCATTAACCCATTCATGGTGGGTGCCATAGTACTACAGCTCTGAAATCTGTGTCAGTGCCGTACTACTTCGCCATGAGCTCAGCTCACATAAGTAAACTGTGAGCAGTAAATTTGGACCTAGATACAAGAGAGCAGGTTTGTGTGTAAGTGTGCACCATTTTAAAAAAATCATGCAGCATGCAGTGCTTATGGGGAAAGAACTGTGACCGTGTGTTTGGTTTAAAACGTTGACTTTGCGGTGTATTTTCATATGATTTTTATGGATGTATTCTAGGTTTCTTGGTCACATTTGATAGAATGGAAGATATTTTACAGAAATTGAGATGATTTGATTAGTTTGAGGACTGAAAGTAGCTTGAAATTGAGCTCAAAGTAGCAGAAATTTTTGATTGTTGCTGATATTTATTCAATTATTACAATAATGCAGTAGTCTGTATAACAGTAAATCTGTTTATTAGTTTTTTTTGTGTGTGTGTGTGTGTGAATGTAAATTCTAAATGGAAAGCAATCATAATATAGGAGAGTCCTAGTGATATAACTAATAAACAAAGGAAATATTTTTTCTGAACCCTATTTTTAAATTGGCAGTTTTTTAATTTTGTGTGAAATTGGCCAAATTACCAATTTTTAATCACTTTATTGGACAGTTGAAATAGGTAAATGGGCTGTTTCTTTTGCTCACTAAAATAGAAGAAATACTAGCAAAATAGCTGTGAGTTTGGTTGACAGAAACGGTGGAATTGGCTGAAAATAGGGCTCAGATATGCTGAAAATAGGGCATAAATAAATACTAACCTTGCATTTGTGGTCACAGTGGTGCCTATGCTAACCTTCCTGTGGTGTAGAAATATACCTAGTTGGACAAATCTTATTGTGGCTAGCTGGTCCAGTGGCTAACGCGACGGTCTGGAGTTTTGAGACTCTGATCACGGGTTCTATCCCTGCCCGTGGTATGGTTTGTTTGCAATCATGTCATTACGATTTCGTGAGTCATATTGATGGCTTTGAGGGGACTTGTGCTAGCGTTCGTCACGGTCACGCTAGCTGGAGATTCGTCTGTAAAAACTTGCATTTGTGGTCACAGTGGTGCCTATGCTAACCTTCCTATGGTGTAGAAATATACCTAGTTGGACGAATTATATTGTGGCTAGCTGGTCCAGTGACTAACGCAATGGTCCGGAGTTTTGAGACTCTCTGATCGCGGGTTCTATCCCCGCCCGTGGTATGGTTTGCTCTCCCAGGACACAAGTCTATGAAGGATAGGCTAACTCTTTTGTTCTGTGGTAATGCTAGTGAGGATTTCAAATTGAAGCCTGCACTCATGTATCACTCTGAAAATCCCCGAGCGTTCAAGAAAAACAATGTTATGAAAAGTAAATTGTGTGTGATGTTGAAGGCTCAAAATAAGGCATGGGTCACGAGGCTAATTTTCACTGAGTGGGCCAGTGAAGTGTTTGGCCCGAGTGTGAAGAAATACCTCCTGGAAAATAAATTGCCACTTAAGTGCCTCCTGGTAATGGACAATGCTCCTGCTCATCCTCCAGACTGGAAGACCTATTGTTTGAGGAGTGTAATTTCATCACAGTGAAGTTCTTTCCCCCTAATACCACTCCTCTCATCCAGCCCATGGACCAGCAGGCCATTTCAAACTTCAAAAAACTGTACACCAAAGCAGTGTTTCAAAGGTGCTTTGAAGTGACCTCGGACACTGAATTGACCCTAAGAGAGTTCTGGAGGAATCACTTAAATATCCTCAATTGCATAAACCTTATAGATAAGGCTTGGCAGGGAGTGACTTCCAGGACGATTAACTCTTCTTGGAGAAAATTGTGGCCAGAATGTGTCCTCCTAAAGGATTTTGAAAGGTTTGAGGTAGACCCTGACAACTCTACACCTATTGTGGAATCTATTGTGTCTTCGAAGAAGTCCATGGGGTTGGATGAGAGTGGCCAGGATGTGGAAGAGTTGGTGGATGACCACTGCAAGACCTTCAACTGGAGCAGCAACAGACTGCAGCTGAGGATATTGCTTCAGAGGAGGAAGAGAGGGGGGAGAATGTGCCTTCTGCAGTGATTAAGGACATGTGTGCAAAGTGGAGTGAGTTGCAAAGTTTTGCAGAGAATTATCACCCTAACAAAACTGTTGCAAGCCTTGTCTGCAACATGTTCAATGACAATGTCTTGTCCCATTTTACGCAAATCATAAAGAAACACCAGAAACATCTCTCGGGACAGATTTTTTGTGCGACAGGGGTACAGTGACTCTCAGGCTGGTCCTAGTGGCAGTAAAAGACAAACAAGGGAAGTAACCCCAGAGAGGGCTTTGATACCTGAAGTCCTTATGGAGGGGGATTTCCCTTCCAAACAATTTATTTATTTATTTACAATTTGAGCACACATACAGAGGTACAAAAAAATACAGATAAGAGCAGCATGCCAAAGCCACTTATACTATGCATAGCATTACGGGCTGGCTTAAAATTAACTTAAGATTAACTAAGCAATGATGAAATCAGTGATAAAACATTACTGTAAACAGATTACTATAAAGCACAAGTGAGTATTACAAAGACAGGTCATATGGTTGCATGCATTGTTGTACATTCAGTCGTATGGAGTATTCTGTTAGGTAGTGTATTTAAAAAATAATGAAGTTCGATTGGGTTTTAGGTTTAACATTTATGTGATATAATTGTGAGAAACATTTAAGATATACAATTTATAAGGTTCAGTTATTCAGTATTTATTTGGTTTTGGGTGAGTAAGTGATCTTTGAGAAGAGACTTGAATTTATGAACAGGTATGTTTCTTTTATATTTACAGGTAATGAATTCCAGATTTTAGGGCCTTTTATGTGCATTGAGTTTTTGCATAGCGTGAGATGGACATGAGGAACCTCAAAGAGTGATCTGTGCCTTGTGTTATGGTCATGTGTTTCTGTTGAGGTTGGCAAGGAGATTGTTTGAGGGAAGGGTTAATATCAGAGTTAAGTGTTCTATGTATGTATAAGTGCAATAATAAGTATGGATGTTTTGTATGGTGAGTAGGTTGAGTGTTTTGAATATTGGTGGAGTGTGCTGCCTGTAGTGAAATTTGTTATCATTCTGACTGCAGGCCTTTTGTTGGGTAATTAGTGGTCTGAGATTGTTAATTGTTTGTTGAGCCCCATGCACAAATTCCATAGGTGAGATAGGGGTAAATAAGAGAGTGATAAAGGGCCAGGAGGGCTGACTGTGGAACATAGTACCGTATCTTCGATAGTATGCCTACAGTCTTGGAAATTTCTTAGAAATTTGTTGTATATGTGTATGAAATTTGAGTCTATTATCAAGGTGGATTCCTAAGAATTTTCCCTCTGTTAGCTTTGTGATAGGTGATCCGTTTATCATTATGTTAAAGGGACATCTATAGCTCTGTTACCAAACTGAATGAAGTAGGTTTTGTCAATGTTTAGTGTAAGTTTGTTAGTCCTCATCCAGGTAGATATTTTCTGTAATTCGGTGTTTACAGTATTGGCTAGCGTGACTGGGCTCGGGTGAGAGAAGACGTATGTAGTGTCATCTGCAAATAGTGTGGTTTGAGTAATTGCGAAGCATTTGGTAGGTCATTTATGTATAGGAGAAAGAGAAGAGGGCCAAGGACACTTCCCTGTGGACACCAACTGTAATTGGTTGTGCAGAAGAGTTTGCCCCATTTGCGTACACATTGGCTTCTGTTGCTGAGGTATGACTTTAGGTATTTGAGGAGTGCCCTCTAATACCATAGTGTGCCAATTTAACGTGGAGCAAGTCATGGTCAACTGTATCAAAAGCTTACGTAAGTCAATGAAGATCCCCAGTGGGACTTCTTTTTTCTCTATTGCAGTGTAATATATGTTCTAGCAATGTGTATAATAGCATCATTAGTATTTTTATTAGGCCTGAATCCAAATTGGCAGGGGTTGAGAATGTTATGGGAGATGAGGTAGGAGTAGATTCGTTTATGAATTAATTTTTCGAAGATTTTTGAGAGAGGGTGTAAGTTGGATATTGGCCTATAGTTATTCAACTCTGTTTGGTCTCCTCCTTTGTGGATTGGGGTGACCCTTGCTATTTTGAGAACTGTAGGGAAGGTGGAGGATTCAATGGATTTGTTAAAGAGTGTTGCAATGATTGGTGATAGTACTTGTGACGCTTTTTTGTATATAAAGGGTGGTAAGGTATTAAATCTCCTGCCTTGTTTTTTTAGTGCGTTGATAATAAAGGAGACTTCGTATGGGTTAGTCGGAGCTAGGAACAGTGTGTTCGGGTAGTTGCCAGTGAGGTAGTCATTTGGTGGGGTATCTGAGCTTGGGATTTTATTGGCAAGGTTTTGTCCTATAGTGGAGAAGAAATCATTGAGTCTGTTTGCTGTTTCTGTTGGTGGGAGTTGGGGTTCATCTGATTTTGCTAATTTTATTTCGCTATTTCGTGATATCTTTTTTGTTCCCAGAATTTCTGATAGGGTTTTCCAGGTCTTTTTTATATCACCTCGTAAGTTGGATAATC